TGCACATACACACGCACACGCGCACACACAGCCCCTTCAGCTGTTTCGCCTGCTGCTCGCTCTGACCTCCAACAACTGCGCGTGGGCCCCGGCAGTCCTGTCCTGACTGCATGGTCCACAACAAGTCACTGTGCACTCCTCAAAGCTGTTTGCCCGCCTGTGAAATGGGAATAATCAAATCCTATCTATCTCCCTGGGGAGTGAAGAGCTCTCCCTGGAAGGATGGGGAGGAATTCCTGGTTCAGAGTCTGACATGTGTGAAGATTTTGATGAATGTCGGCTGCCTTTGGCCCACAAAAAGCCAGGGCTATGTCTTATAGAGCCCTAGATTGGGGCAGGGGAGGTGGGGAAAGGGAAAGAGAGTCAGAGGCATAGGGAGGGAAGGTGCAGCTTCAGGAGGCAGCCTGGAAGACGCAGGCGCCCGCCACCACCGAGGATGGAATGGAGCTGTCCCTCCAGAGCCCCGCTGACACAAATGGGAATTATTCTTCCAATATTGGATTAAAATATTTACACGGCAAGCAGAGCTGAAACAGAAACCGTAATAATTTTTCAGACTAATTTGCTCAACACAAGAACAAAATCCAAGTTGCCTCCAAATGAAAAGGAAGGAGGATATTTTTCCCCTTCCACCTGTCAAAGGCTTCTAGGCAGAAGAGCGAGGATCGGGGAGTAGAGGGCCAGAGTCCAGTGCTCCCGGGCTGCTGGCCACTCTCATGTGTGGGGCTGAGTCCTGGCGGATGGGCCTGTAAGGGGAAGAGGTCTCTGCAGAGAGCTCCTGCTGTCCTCCATCTGTGGGAAGGAGAGCTCTGTCTCAGCGGGGCTCCCCTCCCTCGTGGTGGACGGCACCCACCGAGGTCCGCACAGATCCCTGCGCCTGGCAGGGAGCATGCGTGGGGTGTGGCTCAGGAGCACAGAAGACACACGGAGAGGCAGAAAGACACGGGTGAGAGAGACTGAGGGACACCGAAAAACACAGACCAAGAGGCTGGGAGAACGAGCGAAGCATAAAAAAGGCACAGACGGACAGGTATGGAGAGGAAAGCGGGAGGGTCAGAGAGAGAGAGAAAGGAGAAGAGAGAGGGGGGATGGGAGAAGCCAGTGAGGGGCGTCCTGCTGGTGCCCACCTTTTTCTCCAAGGAAAACTGCCTTCCCCTTTGCCAAGGGAGAGGTCAGCAGGTCGGGCCTCACAACTAAGAGAAAAGCGCTCTCCTTCTCACCAAGACAACAAAAAGACAAAAGGGCACTGAGGCCCCCGGCCCCGGAACCGGCAGGGTGGGGCAGCAGCCTGTGTCGGGGAGAGGATCAACATGGCCAAGGCTCAGACAAGCTCCTCATGAACTGGCTGCTTGGCTCGCTCTGTAATGCCCCTTCCCCAAAAGCCACCGTCTCCTGGGAAGTCCACTGGATGTCTCGGAGGCCGAATCCCCCACTGGAGACACCCCCACCCTGGCCATCCACCCCCGTCCTTCCAGGGCCCTAATTACAACTCAGGACAGCAGTAAGATCAGCAGCTGGGGGCAGAGGGACAAGTCCAAGAGGCACCAGGACTGGGCCCTCACATGTGGTTTTTAAAATTCAAATGAGACAGGATAAGAACAAGTCCAGGTCAGTCCCTGTCTGGTTCCTAAGGCTGCCATGCCTGTTAGACTCAGCCAGAGGAAGGCTTTCCATTTGGAATCCCGGTCCAGATGGAGGGGAAGGGGGAGGGGACACAAGGAGCCGCAGGGCCCCGTCCAGGGGGCTGAGAGTTGGCATCCAGCAGGGAAGGGCAGGAAAGGGCCACCAGCCAACCCAGGGAGGCAGGCGCAGGGTGGCCAGGGGCTGTGGGGATGACGTGGAAAGCCGTTGGAACAGAGCCTGGCACACAGGAGCTCAGCCAACCACCAGAAGCTCACGGAGGGCGTCTCCCTGGCTGCCCCGGGAGAAACGGGCCCTGCCGACACCTTGACAGCTGACGTTCAGCCTCCAGGAGCAGGAACGTGCAGATCCCTGCTGGCCGAGCCGCTTGGTTGTGACACGTTGTCATGGCAGCCGGAGCAAGGAGCTGTGACGACACCTGTGTTACAGCTGAGGAAACGGGAGGGACACTAAGAACTCTGCCGAGGTTCCACGGCCGGGGAGGCCCCTGAGGAGAGCCCGGCAGGGCACCAGCCTGTAGGCCGCAGCGGGTTGCCCCTGCACCACCGACCCTGTGAACCTCAGGGTGTCATTTTTCTCTTGTGCTCCTTTCTCTAGGCCGCCTCAGGCCAGAGCAGCTTGGAAATGCACTTGACCCCTGGCCATGGTTACCCCCTAAAGAAGGAGCTGAGTCAGGGGCACCCTGCTCGCCACAGGGTGGAAGGGGAGCCGGAGGCCAAGGGCAATCAGGAACTAGTTTCCCCGCTACCAGAGCCCTGTGAGATTTCTTCAGCTTCTGCCACTTCCCCACTCTTTCCCCTCCTGTGCCC